ACCACACCACCAACACACATATATTATTATATATATATATATATATATATATATATATATATATATATATATATATATATATATATATATACATATACATATACATATACATATATACATACATATCTTTGCTAAAAAGCCAGCAATATGTACAAACATAAAAACAATGCCAGCACTTGGTAGTGGAACGCAGGCGTTCTCCCATACAATCCCCTTCCTTCTATCCCACGCATTAACCCTCATACTCCAGCAACAGTAGTCTGCATTAGACGACCAGCCCAGCAACATGTACAAGGGTACAACAGCCATCTCTCCTACCTGAGCAAATTGTTCTCTTGTCAAGGCAAGGCTCTGCGTGCTGTCATGAATACCAATGAGCATACTATAGTCCAGCACTCCGTTGTCGCGTAAGAAATGAGCGTCCCTTTCACACTGTTCCCACAGTGAGTTTGTGATCTGCTTCCCCAGCCGTAATCGCCTACCACTGGCGAGCCAATCCAAATCCTGATTGTTGTGTGAATATCAGTTGTGTTGTCACATATCAGCTTTGTGAAAGCCAATCCAGAACCTGATTATTATGTGCTGATCAGTCGGGCTATAACCACCCCATCCGAGTTCACAATGTCAGGTATACAAATGCCGGTAGCAGGCCGATTCTCTCGGTCTAACGAAGTAGTTATAAGACTAATAACGTGCGCAGTACACAATGTATATGGGCTGGAGATGTAGAAATGAGGACGTATGAAAACTTAAAATAGAACACCACACACCACACCTTGTATATGATATCACTTTCAGCGCAATAACAGTGGTCAGTACACAATGTATATGGGCTGGAGATGTAGAAATGAGGACCTATGAAAACCTAAAAATAGAACAGCACACACCACACCTTGTATATGATGCCACTGTCTGTGAAGTGCCCCAAATTTTCATTCAGAGAAGTCCTGCCGTACATGGAGCCTAAAAAGGGCAAATAAACAAGAATAAGGAAAGTAATCCTATACGTTGATATGATGTACACGGTTGTTTTCCATGGGGTCTAAAAAAGGGCAAAATAAACAAAGAATAAGGAAAGTTATCGCATACGTCGATATGAGGTACATTCGTTGTTATCCATGGGGTCTAAAAAAGGGCAAATAAACAAAGAATAAGGAAAGTAATCCTATAAGTTGATATGAGGTACATAATTGTTGTCCATGGGATCTAAAAAAGGACAAATAAACAAAGAATAACGAGAGTAGTTCTATACGTTGATATGAGATACACAATTGCCATCCATGGGCCTGAAACCAGACAAACGAACTTAAGTTTGAGAAATAAAACCCCCTTCATGAAGATAGGGGATGTACAAATTCAGATCAAACCCCGAGAGCGTACACTCATTACTACCACACGGAAGACTAAAGATTAAGGTAATACACTCATTACTACCACACGGAAGACTAAAGATAAAGCAATACACTTTTTACTACCACATGGAAGACTAAAGATATGACAAGGAAGCTGCGTATAGAGCCCCTATGGAAAAGTGTTTTATGAAGTGGTCGACTTCGCCCTTTATAGCGTGCCAGATACAGATGTTAACCTTCTATACCTTCAGCCCAATACCAACACTATATATTGCGACAAGATGAAATGGGTGTAACTATATATATATATATATATATATTCATACACACATACATACATACATATCACCCCCGACTGCACGACTAACAGATGTGGCTCCTAATAACAACTCGAGGTATGTGCAAACATGATTGAGTGCGCATACGCTACGCACCTGTACTCGGCTATGTCGATCGAATAGTACGTACTTACTCAAAACAACGTAGAAGGAGACTAAGTTTACGTACAATACGTAAACGGATAGAATCCGCAGTGAGCCAATACACCTCCGTGGGCCATACCTTTAATATCAAACCGTACGTCCATGGGTAAGCTTGTGTGGAATACGTTGCCCATGACCACAAAGTGTGTCTTGACTTTCCTGAAGCGTATGCGATACAACCCGAAGTATCGGGTCAGCAGCGTGGTGGGGTTCTCCTATACGCCACAGAACAACGTCACATGTAGAATGAGTACAGACAGCACAGGCAGTGCAAACGACGGTATTATATGCCTCACGCCGGACCCGTAAGTGGGGTACGAGGGCTTTATGTGTATCGGACCTGAAACCGGACTCATCTTGTCCTTGCCGAATCGAAACGTATATAGGTTAGGTGCGAGCTATGCGTATGTGGCGACAGGAAGAAATGCGTATGTGGCGACAGGAAGAAGTGCGTGTGGCATCAGTTCAAGCAGACAGCAATAATACCAAACACTCTTTGTATACTGTAGTAATAAAACGTACACTACAGTACACGTATACTGTAGTAAACGTATATTACAGTTCACGTATACTGTAGTAAACGTATACTGTGGTAAACATATACTGTGGAAAACGTATACTGTAGTAAACGTATACTGCCGTAAACGTATACTGTAGTAAACATATACAGTAGTAAGCGTATACGCGCAGAATAGTACGTGGGATACGCACTGTGTTAGTTCAGCGGGATGGTCTGTAGTACACGCTACACATCTTAACATTATCGTACTGCTTGCGGTGAATGCGATATAGTAGTACAGTAATGGTGTGCTACGCTCACAATAAACGTACACAACAGCGACATAGACATTAGCCAGCAATCTAACGCGTTTGTGCTACCTACAACCTATATACATCTGCATGCGCAGTTTACATACAATAGGCGTATGTACATATTACATATACCGTACGATATTCTAGCGACACAGGAAGACCAGACCAGACATATTAAAGATAGAGATACGCAGCCGTTGGAATGAAAGTAACGTGATGTATTTGGTGTGTGTGTTCAAGCTAGACAATCAAGAGTTTCCCTTGAACACACAATACGTGGTGCGTGTGTGTGTTGCTCTTGAACTTGCGGTCTGTTTTTATTGGTATTCGCACACAATACGTAACACAGATTTAAACGGAATGATAACTCTCGGGCGCAGAGTGTCACAGTGAAATGCAATGCGTAATAGCCATGACAATCACTTACACTCATACGCACTACGCTAGTAAAAGTCCTCACCTTCACATATTTGGTGCAATCACATAGCATCTATAGGCATTACAGCTAGGACAATTACTTACACTCATACGCACAACGCTAGTAACAGTACTCACCTTCACATATTTGGTGTACTCACTTATCATCTGTAGGCCTTACAGCTAGGACAATCACTTACACTCATACGCACTACGCTAGGAACAGTACTCACCTTCACATATTTGGTGTACTCGCTCAGCATCTATAGACATTACAGCTAGGATAATCACTTACACTCATACGTACTACGCTAGTAACAGTACTCACCTTCACATATTTGGTGTACTCGCTCAGCATCGATAAGAGAGCGTTGGATTCGGATGTTGAGATTGTTTTGAACATGTACTTTCCGTCATGACTGTAGTAAAAGAACGAACCGCTCTTGCCTTCTGATACCAGACCCGACATACTGTAAGGGATCATCATCAGAGGGGGTGGGGGTAGGGAGTTAGCTTAGTATACTGTAAGGGATCATCATCAGAGAGGGGGGGGGTAGGGGGGTAGGCTTAGTATACTGTACGTGGATCATCATCAGAGAGGGGCGGGGGTAGGGGGGTAGCTTAGTATACTGTGCGTGGATCATCATCAGAGAGGGGGGAGGGTAGGGGGGTAGCTTAGTATACTGTGCGTGGATCATCATCAGAGAGGGGGGGGTAGGGGGGTAGCTTAGTATACTGTGCGTGGATCATTAAGATCGTATGCACGGGTGAGGTATTTTATTGTATTTTATACATAGGTAGAAGTATTGTGTTGTATAGTTTAGTTAAAGTCAACCACATGCCTGGTGAGATAAGCAAAAGCAGTGTGATGTATTGTATTTTATTGTATTGTATTGTATTGTATTGTAGTGTAGTGTATAGTTGAGTATTAGTTAAGTATTAATTAATTGCATGCCTGGCGAGATAAGCAAGAGCAGTGTGATGTATTGTAGTGTGAAGTTAAGTATTAATCAAGTATTAGTAAGTATTAATTAAATACATACCTGGTGAGATCGCCCATCAGCAGACAGCCCATCACCTGCTTAACACCGACACTCTCCAGAAAGGACTCATTGGACACGCCATACGTCTCCCGGATTTGTTTGAATATCTGTGGCAAAACCAACTAATACTTGAGCGGGTTTGTTTGAATGTCTGTGGCAAAACCAATTAATACTTGAGCGGATTCGTATGAAGATCTATGGCAAAACGAACCAATATACTGGAGAGAGTATTTTGGAATGAATATCGGTGGCTAAACCAAACCATTACTTGAGAGCGTAATTCGAGAATTGGCAAGTGCTCACGACAGGGCTATATAACCTTTAAAGAAGTTTCTGATAAATGGTCTGAATATAACTTTTAAAGAAGTTTCTGAGAAATGGTCTGAATATAATTTTTAAAGAGTTTAGGGATTTTAGAGAGTACAGGGAGTTGGGGAATCTAGTCTACATATGGAGGATAGCCCCACGGTGAAGATTGTCGTTGACAAAAATGAGAGAAAAAAAAGAGAGAGAGAGACAGAGCGAGAGAGAGAGAGATAGATAGATAGATAGAGAGAGAGAGAGATAGATAGATAGATAGAGAGAGAGAGAGAGAGTGTGTGTGTGTGTGAGTGAGTGTGTGTGGTGGAGGGTATCAGATGGAAAAGATTTCCAGTCAATGAGATATATAACTCAGAACTGAAAAAGAGGAGCGCGTGTAACTGATTCCGTGCTTGGATTGACATCACAACCCTTGCCGGAATAGCAATATTTACCAAAAATCCAATCGGGACATCAATAGGGACATCAATTGCTAATTTGGGACATCAATTGGAACATCAGTTACTCAATTGGAAATTCATTTGGGGCATCAATGGTTCATTTGGGACATCAATTGTAAATTTGGGACATCAATTGGAACATGAATTAATCAATTGGGAATTCTTTCGGGGCATCAATTGGAACATCAATAAATCAATTGGGAAGTCATTTTGGGCATCAATCGTTCATTTGGGACATCGATTGTAAATTTGGGACATCAATTGTAAATTTGGGACATCAATTGGAACATCAATTAATCAATTGGGAATTCATTTCGGGCATCAATTGGGTGTCAGATACTTGAATACTGTAATTCTGACAAAATGGATTTCCGAAAACGGCCAAAAAAATGTGGTCGCCAACCTAGGCACTTCGAAATTGCATACATACCTCTGGGTAGTGGCACGTCACACTGACTTTGGCGGATGAGGAGGAGTTCTCGTGCGACGGTAGATCATAACTGAGTATAATGTAAAGTAAATATAACACATATAATAAAGAATAGCTGAGTTTGATTCAATATATATACATTACATACAAGGATGCGGAGAAAATATCGGAACAGATCCGTATCCGTATAACCCCAGCTGCGTTTGCCGCACACAGGTCACGTATACGTTCTGTGGGTGGCTATCAAGCAGACAACTATGTGCACACACTCTATGAGTGGACACCCACAAACACAACACAGACAAGCCTGTGGGTGAACTCTCTTGAACAGAAACGGGGAAGTGGAACAACTGCCACACCTTTAAAATCCAGGGTATAGGTTTATCATCCACTTTAAAGCTAAAGGTATAGGTTTATCATCCACTTTAAAATCAAAGGTATAGTTTTATCATCCACTTTAAAACTAAAGGTGTAGTTTTATCACCCATTTTAAAATCAGAGATATAGTTTTATCATCTATTCAAAATCAAAGGTACAGTTTCATCATCCACTTTAAAATCAAAGGTGTAGCTTTATCGTCCACTTTAAAATCAAGAGTATAAATTTACCACCCACTTTAAAATCGAAGGTATCGTTTTATCATCCACTTTAAAACCAGTTGTATAGTTTTATCAGCCACTTTAAAATCGAAGTTATCTCTTATCAGCCTCTCTAAATTCAAAGGTATAATTTTATCGTCCATTGAAAACAAGTGTATAGTTTTATAATCCCCATTCAAATCAAAGGTATAGAGTTATAGGTTTATCTGATAAAGGCACACACAGCACAGGGTACAGGTGTAACGATCGCCCTCAGCCAAATTAGTGCATTCAGAGTCAGTCGCAGGACGCCTCTCACACTCTCACAATGTCTACAATCAAGATACTCGCGTTGGGGAGACTGTGCTAAACACCAACAGCATAATCCCCACTCCTTATCATCTACTGCCATAGTATATAGGCGGATCAGTATATATCATCCCCTGCTTCAAATACTGCACATCGCTTGTACTAATATGTTTCCTTGGTTGTCAGTCCTTGCACACACTGGGCTCGATCGAAGGGGTGTACACAAGTCCTCTAAAGTGCTACTCCTTCCATTTGCGTCACTTGTAGCTATCCCATACAAAACGTTTTATTCACCAAATAACGTAGGCAGGTCTTCGTATGTGCCTCCCGTTGGGTTGGGTGTGCTTGCATGGCTAGAGGGCATATAATCTACCTGTTGAACGAACTATTGGGTCTGATAAATAGGGCTTAAAGCACTATTCCTCACATATGCGATACTTGCTACTATCCACACACAATACCTTTCCTTCGCCAAATACCCGTACGCACGTCTTCTATAGCACTATTGTTAACATACACGCCACTTGTTGCTATCTACACACAAAATACCTTTTCTTCGCCAAATATGCCACTTGTTACTATCCATATACACACAATACCTTTCCTTCGCCAAGTAACTGTCTAAACCCTCTGCGTGCGGTACAGTGGAGGACAAACACTCATTGGAAGACCCGCCGTCATCAGTGGCTTGCGGTCGAGTGCGCGAGTTGTCGATACTCAACTGATGAGAAAATAAATTATATATGAAGAGAGTCAGGAATATATGATGATGAAATAGGTAACATATGACGAGAAATAGGAATGTATAGAAAATAAATAATATATGATGAGCACAAGAGGAATATATGATGAGAAAATAGCTAATATAATAATAAACGAATGAAATATGTTAAATATGGTATCCAACTGGTGGGAAAAAACATGACATATTAACAAAATATTAGACTATGGTATTAGAATAGGGTTGTCGTGGTATGATTGAAAAAGAAAAAGAAATAGCGAAGTGGTGTATAGCTGTATTATCTATTTAAATACTAACTATGGACAGCAATAGTAACATCTGTCGTCAAAGTCACTCTAATGAATCATTGGCTGATAGCCAAGTAGGTACAATCAAATACGGATAAAGATTAAACTTACCTGTACACCAAGCATGACGCTGAACATAAAGTCCCAATTCTCCGATCCAAAAAATACTTTTCGCCCTGATTTTGATTTTATATCGACCTTCTTCTGCGAATTGGTCTCATCAGAGTACCCACTTTTGAGAGAGTCAGGGCACGTGTCCAAATTAAAATTCAAGTTAAGTTTGCTATATATATATATATACACT